ACTAACAAGCCTATGCATGTGGAACAATGCCCTTCGACATCACAAAAATTACAGGCATTAGAACAGCTGGTACAGGGGCAGCTAAATGCTCAACATATTGAAGAATCCACCAGTCCTTAGAATTATCCTTTATTTTTGTCATTAAGAAGAAATCTAGACAATAGAGAATGGTAACAGCTCTAACAGCTGTTAATAAGCTCATTCAGTCAATAGGCCCTTTACATCCTGGAGTGACCCTGCCTTCTCTATTACCTAAATGATAGTTTATTAATAGTGATTGATTTAAAAGACTGCTTTTTTACTATATCTTTACAAGAACAGGATAGAGAAAAATTTGCCTTCACAGTGCCTTCGTATAATAATTCCCAGCCTGTGGAAAATTCTTTCACAAGGGATGTTAAACAGTCCCACTTCATGTCAATATTTTGTACAACTACCATTGGGAATAATTAATAAACTGATCCCTCAATCTATAATTTACCATTATATAGATAATATCATACCAGCTGATTCAGATACAGATACCTTAGAAAAAAATGATTGAAGCCGGGGGTTGGTGGTGCCTGCTTATAATCCCAGCACTAGGGAGGCAGAGGCAGGCAGAACTCTGTGAGTTTGAGGCCAGCCTGGTCTACAGAGTACCAGGGCAGCCTCCAAAACAATACAGAGAAACCCTGTCTCAAAAAACCAAAAAAAAAAAAAAAAGAAAGAAAGAAAGAAAGAACGAAAAATATGAAGAGGAGATTCTATTCTATTAAAAATCAGGAGATATCAATTATGAATTGTTAATGATTTTTGAAAATTATTGGTAGATATTAATTGGTCATGGTCCACAATTGGATTAACAACTCAAGAACTAAGTAATTTACTTCAAACCTTACAAGGTGATAAGGACTTAAGTAGTCTAAGACAATTATCAGCTGAGGTTGATAGAGCATTGACTGTGGTAGAAAAGACATTAGAGGATAACATATGTAGATTGATGCATATCGAGTGGTTTTTGTTTTGTTAGATGGAGAGAGAGGGACACGGGAAAGGAGGAAGGGCTCAGGAGATTCAAGAGCCTTTTTGGATCTTGGAAAAGAGAGAGAAGGTTCAGCTGGGCTTTTGGAAACTACCAGGTTCAAACCGTACTATCTGACATCCGCGTTTTTATTAAGAGAATCACTTAGATGACACAGATCATGGACAGCAACATGGTTTCTGGACACAGCAGGGATCGTGGACATTGAGATGGATTCAGGACTCCGGAAATTCCATGGCCTTTGATGACAATAGACATCAACACAGGAGACCCCATATCTTGAATTACAAACAGGAAGCAGGAGCAAGCTGGGAAGGCCACAGCCCCCAGTGACAGCAAGCCAGTACTTCCTGAACCTTCCCAAACAGCACCAGCAAATGGGGACGAAGCATTTAAATATTTGAGCCTATGAGGGACATTCTTTTACAAGCCACCACTGCTGTTTCCTTTTTAAAGCATGTGCTCATCTATCTTTTTACTTGTTTATTATATTTTTGAGACAGGGTTTCTCCGTGTAGCCCTGGCTGTTCTGGTACTCACTGTGTAGACCAGGCTGGCTTTGTACTCAGAGATCCATCTGCCTCTGCCTCCAAGTTCTGGGATTATAAGCATTCACCACTATGTTCAGCATCATCTCATTTTTTAAAAAAGATTACTTTATTGCTGGGCAGTGATGGTGCACTGCACGCCTGCATATATGTCTGCATACCACGTGAGTTCCTGGTGCCCAGAGAGGCCCAGCAGAGGGAGGTTGGGTCCCTTGGATCACTTGGAATGGGAATCACATGGGTTGTGAGCTACCGTGTGGGTTCTGGGAATCAAACCCAAGTCCTCCAGATGTTCTTACCCACTGAGTCATCCCACCAGCCAGTTGTTTTCTTTCTTTCTTTCTTCCTTCATTTCTTTCTTTATTTTATTTTTGGTTTTTTGAGACAGGGTTTCTCTGTGTAGCTTTTGAGCCCTCCTGTCCTGGAACTCACTCTGTAGACCAGGTTGGCCTTGAACTGACAGATACAGCTCTGGAGTGCTGGGATTAAGTGCACCACCATCGCCCAGCACTTCTCTGCTCTCATTGAAGGTGCTGCATTTCAGAACCACAAGGGGGAGTTTTTGTAAGATTCCCAGTATCTCAGCTCCACCCCAGATCAATTAATCTGAAGGTGGATTGGCAGGGCATCTGCTGCAAAGCTCCCTAGGTTATGCTATTATGCAGGTGGGATTAAGAATTTCCATCTCAGTGAGTGGTAAGCAGGCACCTGGGTGGAGGTAAATTTATCCTCGTTAAACCCAGGAGCCTAAACTACTGAATAACTAACCTCCCTCCCCTTCTTTAAGGTACAGAGCCTTAACTTGTCAACTGTTCTCAGGAACAGTTTAAAATTGACAGTCTAAAAACAATAGCAACAATCAACTCACCCCCACCCCAGGGTATATGCATAGGAAACCAACACAGCATCTCAAAGACCTATTGGTACTCTCATTTTCCATGGTAGCTCTTTTCCTACTTTTCTCCTCATTGTAAGAGGCCACCTAACAAAAAGCGTTTCTGGATGGGAGGGTTTATTCTGGCCCACGCTTTGAGGGGCCAGTCCATTGTGGTAGAGCAGCTTTGGAAGCAGAAATGTGTGGTTGCTGGTCACGTACGTAACATTTGCAGTCAGAAAGCAGAGGAATGGATGCTGGCACTCAGCTTGTATTCCTCAGTCTAGGTGTTGGGGTGATGCTGCTCACAGACAGAACCTAACCCGGGAAATTCTCACCAATGTGCCAGAGGTTTGTCTCTTAGGTGTCAGTCTCATCTTGTCAAGCAGACAATTAAAATTAACCATCACAGTAGCTCTATTCCTTTTTATAAAAAGATATTCTATTTACCAGAAGGCGGCAAATTAATCCCAATACTGGGGTAGGACCCCCCCCCCAGTTATTTATTTTGGTTTTTCAAGACAGGGTTTGTTTGTGTAACAGCTCTGGATGTTCTGGAATTCACTCTGTAGCCCAGGCAGGCCTTGAACACACAGATCTGTCTGCCTTTGCCTCCCAAGTGCTGGCTGGGATTAAAGGCATGTGACACCACTGCCTGGGAAATTATGTATTTCCAATTTATTTATTTTTTGACATTTTCATGCATATACATAGTGTAATCTGATTATATTCCCCAGCCCCTATTATTATCCTCTTTTATCGTGTTCCTCTCCCAACAAAGCTCTTTGGCTCAATAAACCCTCAGTCCAACTTTCATGTCGTTTTGTTTTGTATCTCTCTCTCTCTCTTTCTGTGTGTGTGTGTGTGTGTGTGTGTGGCCCAATGTATTTAGTTAGGGTTACTTCCATTAGCATTGGTAGGGTGAGTGTTAACACTTAAAATATTGTGGATGTGTGATATGTATATGAGTGAGAGAGCTCGTATTCCACCTATGGAGGTCACAGGACAACCGTTGGTGGCAGTCTTGTGAGCAATGCCTAGGGGATCCTTGGGTCTCAACCTCCTCAATGCTGGAATTACAAATCTGCACTCCAAGCTCGTGGGTTGGTGGGTTGTTTTGTTTGTTTTTGTTTTTTTGTAATAGGCCTCTAGAGAGCAAACTCAAATCCTTCTGTAACAGGGTCCCAGACCTTAGCACAACTGACTCCATGCTGGAAGTACCGTTCAGGCTGTAAAATTCAGCACGTAGACAGCACCACCTGTAAAAATGAAAACAAAAGCCTATCCATCAAATCCGTGTAGTTCTGGGTAAGTCTCAAAATGTAATAAGCTTGTTTTTAGCTTCTGTAATTCTCCTGGCTAACAGTTCTAGTTAATTGAAGTATGTCAACCCATTAATGCACTAAGACCAACACACAATCCAGAACATGGTGTTTGCGCTTAAAAGCTCAGCCTGAGAAAGTTTTGGAGCTGCACTGGGATCCCAATTAGCCAGTGTAGTCGCTGGCTGGCTGGTAAAGACTTTCTATTGGCTTACACCAATGTCCCAGCAGTCTTCTGTGGTGCATACCCCAGCACTGATTTATTGAGTTATCTCTTCTGTCCCTGTTTGCTTTGCATCACACTATGAAGCCCTGGCTGGCCTAGCACTCAGTATGTAGACCACGGTGGTTTAAAATTCAGATATCCATCTGCCTCCGACTCCCAAATGCTAGAATTAAAGGCATGTATGACCTGCTCTGTTTTTCTTTTTCTTTCTTTCTTTCTTTTTTTTTGTGGGGGGGGCGGGTTGGTTTTTCGAGACAGGGTTTCTCTGTGCCTTTGGAGCCTGTCCTGGAACTCACTCTGTAGACCAGGCTGGCTGATCTGGAACTCACAGAGACCCACCTGCCTCTGCCTCCCAAGTGCTGGGAAAAAAGGCGTGTGCCACCACCGCCGGGCTAACTTGCCCTGTTTGCTAAGAGACAGAGTGTAACTCAGTAGTTCTCCTGCCTCAGCCTCCTGAATGCTGGGATTACAGGCATCTAGTGTAACCCAGGCTGGCCCTGCACTTTTGATTTCTCCGTCCTTTTGTCCAAAAGCTGTGATCACAGGCATGGTCCGTACCATGCCCAATTTTAGTACTGCACTTTTCTATAAGAGTTTGAGCATCTACAGACTTTGGAATCAGCATAGGATAAGGACCCCCTTCCTTCCCCTCCAGGAGGAATATCTGTTTTTCTCCAGGTTTTGAGGGCAGGTCGTTATTTTTAAAACACTCCCTTAATTTCTTCACACCCCGCGAGAGCTCGATGAACACAAGATCAGCTTCATAAATGACCACGTGGACGTCCCGGCGGAGCCGAAAGTCCCGCCACTTTTTTTTCCCCTTTTTTCCTCTCGGGATTGATTGGCGTCTCCCTCACGTGACCCGCGGCAGCGAGCCGGCCCTGGAGTCTCGGGAACCCACGTGGTCCCCGGCAAGCACGGGGGCGGCCACTGCGCAGGCGCAGGCGCAGGCGCGGACGCGGCCCCGGCGCGCGGCTCTGCTGGCGGTTGGCGAGAGCGGGAGCGGGAAGCCGGCGCCATGGTGGAGAAGGAGGAGGCCAGCGCCGGCGGCATCAGCGAGGAGGAGGCGGCACAGTATGACCGGCAGATCCGCCTGTGGGGCCTGGAGGCCCAGAAGCGGTGAGGAGCGAGCGGGCGGGGCCGGGCCGGGCGTGTGCATCCCGAGCGAGCGGGTGGGGCCGGTTTGTAGAGCCGCGGCGGGAGGAACGAATGGAGCGTGTTTCTGGAAAGTGTGGAGATGCTGGAGACGTGCCCCTCCACCCCCGGCTGGTCCGCGAGTGTCCTCGGAGGAGGCGGGGAAGAGGAGGGTTCGAGCTCGAGGCTCGCCCGGTGTCGCCAACGGGTGGTGGCGGGGTTTAGGGCGGCGTTTGTAGGGCGCGAGGAGAGGGCCGGGCTGAGTTCATCAACTTCCATTCGGTGCGAACCTGTGTTGGGGGCCCCGGGGACCTGGCAAGTCGCACAGGCTCCTCTGGGGAGGGTTTCCCGGCCACGTCCCGACCCCGACGAAGGGACATCCCGAGAGGCTCAGAGAGGCCGGCTTTATTGAGCACGCTGCTGTGGGTGCTGAGTGCTGTTTCTCCTCCCCACCCCACCCCACCCCCCGACAGGGTTTCTCGGTGTAGCCCTGCCTGTCCTGGAACTCGTTCTACATGTAGATCGGGATGGCCTCGAACTCACAGAGATCTGCCTGTTTTCCGTGCGCCACCGCCACGGACGGCTTCTTTTCCCTTTTTCGAGTTATCATTGTTCATTTCTGTGTCGACGGTTGTTGGGCATGGTTTTGCACACCTTTAAATCCAGCACCCTGGAGACTGAGGCCAATGGTTCTCTGTGAGTTGAAGGCCAGCCTGGTCTATGTATTTCCAGGACAGCCTTGGCTACACAGTCTTAGATCAAGACAAATTATTTTTTTTATAGCCCGGGCTGTCTTTGAACTTGCAGAGATCCTTTTAGCCGCCCAAGTGCTGGGATGCACGCGTGCTCACCGCAGTTTGGCTCCCTAAGCATTTTATTGGGGGGGGGGGTTAGAATTTTACATATTTGTTTATGTGTACGTGTCAGTGCGGTGGGTGTGGGTGCAGTTGGTTCTATTTCTGAGGTTAGAACTCGGGTTGCCAGGCCTCCCCCAGGCCTCCAAGACCAGCACTTCACTTGCTGAACCATCATGCTGTGTTCTTGAAGCATTTTCCATTGAACAGAATTAGGCTCCTTCTCCACTTGAAACTTATGTTCTGATGGGGACTGAGGGCAGCATTCATAAATAAAGAAGATTCCAGAAAAATAAGTTTCCAGGGTAGTGGCATACGGCTGGGATCCCAGACCTATGGAGGCGGAGGGTGGAGGAGTGGGCTCAAGGCGGGCCTGCAGTACATTGTGAGTTTGATGCCGTTATAGTGATACCTTACCTCAAAAATCAAAAATACTGACAGGTACAAGCCTTTACTCGTGTCAGAAAATCGGACACTGATGAGGTGGCTTCCAGTGCTCGGGAGGTTGAGGAGGGAGGTATAAACCCCATGTGCTAGTTCATGCCTGTACACTCAGCACTCAATAGGTTGTAGATGCAGGAGGATCAGGAGTTCAAGTCTAGCCTTGGTGTGATGGCGTACGCCTTTATTCCCAGTGAGCTTGAGGCCAGATGTTTTATATTGTGAGTTCCAGGCCACCCAGGCAACATAGTGAGACCCTCACTTTGAAGAGACGGTAGGGTGGGGGCTGGAGAGGTAGAACTTCAGTTCAGAGCACTGGCTATGCTGGCAGTAGGCTCAGATTTGGTCCCTCCCGTGGCATGGTGGCTCAACCACATGCAATGCTAGTTCAAGGAAATTTGACATCCTCTGGTCTTTGTGGGCACTGCACGCATGTGTTACACATACATACTCTCAGATGTAAACACACATGCATAAAATCTCTGGAGAAAAGGAATCTATGAGATTGAAGTAAATGACATGGCATGTGAACAACTCCTGCACTCAGGAGATAGCAGTAAATTCTCTACATTATTAGACTAGTGTCAATAACCAGTAACAAAAGACAGAAAATAAACCGGGCAGAGGCAGGCGGATCTCTGAATTTGAGGCCCACCTGATTTACCAAGTTACGCAGAGAAACCCTGTCTTGGAAAATAAAATTTTAAAAAAGACGAAGGGAAAGTAAAAGTGAGTGTTGAACCACTGACATCTCTGAGAGGTTTTAAGAACAGTTACAGTTTCAGTGCTAGGGATGGACCACATGCTAGGTACCAACACTGCAGCCTCCCAGCCAATCACATCAAAATGTCTATTTTTCTCCTTTGAGACAGGGTTTCATTCTAGCCCAGGCTGGCAGCAAAATGGAACAGTCAGTCCTCCTGCCGGGTGCTAGGAGTGCTGGTTCATTGGTGTAGTGGGGGCGTAATCAGATCCCACTGCTTCCAAGGTCGGTGTGGGAAGGAAGGCCAGGAGTTCTAGGTCAGCCTGGGCTACATGAGACTGTCTCAGAAATAAAACAGGCAATTTCTGTTTTATTAAGCTTTTTCCCTCTGAGGATTTGTAATGTAGCACAATTATAAAGCACAGAGCTTTATGTTCTGTCACTGAAGTTTGATTTGAATTTGATCTGTGCTTTGTCTTTGGGCAGGTCACTTAAAACATGCCGTTTCTGACTCCTCAGGGGCTGATGAAGCAACTTCTGTGTTAGCTGGGCATGTAGCTCAGCTGGTAGAGCGCTTGGTTAGCATGTCCAAAGACCACTCTAGCTCTGTGTAAAAAAGAGCTCAGTAGCTCATGTCCACAATCTCAATGCCATCTCTCCTTCCTACAAAAAGCAAAAAAACCCCACAAACATGAGAAGGTCATTTTGGGCTTCTAGGAAAGCAGCAGTTTGTCTGATACCTAGTGAATGGTCATTTGTTTAAACTTGGAAGGGGATGATGCTAAGGTTCTTTGCTGGAAACAACCTTAGTTCCTGCAAAGGGAAGCTGTTTGGCTTAGCAGCTTAGAACTGAAATGAGAAGATCCACAGGACTGAGTGTCCAGTAGGGAACGTGCAGAGAGATAGACCATTCAAAGCTTTGAACAGTGTGATAAGTTGTAGCTCACATTGTAAGGTCTGCCTGGGCTGATGAATGGTTAGAGAAGGGGTCTGAGTTCTACCCCCAGTAGGGCAAACAAAATATGCTTTGAAATGGGGACAGTAAGTTGTAAGGGACAAATGGAGGCAAGGAGGCCAAATGTATTTATTTCGATAGGGTCTCCTGTAATGCGTCATGGCCTTTTACTCAGTCTGATCACCTTGGACTTCTGATTCCCCTTGCCTCTACCTGTCACTGGAGTGCTTAGATTACAAGTGCGTGCCACACCCCATCTATGCTGCCCTGGGGATAGAATCCAGTGTTATGTGCATGCCAGGCAAGTAGTCTGCCAACTGAGCTATAGCCATAACTCCTTTGTTTTTGTAGTTCTAACAGGGCTGGGTGGTGGTGATTTGGGAGACAGAGGTAGGTGGATCTTTCTCTACGAGTTTGAGCTCAGTCTGGTCTACAGAGTGAGTCTCAGGACAGCCAGGGCTGTTTAACAGCTCTGTCTCTGAAACAATCAAACAAAAAACACTTACTCCTCTCTCAGGAGACTGCAATTTGGTTCCTGGTACCCATATGGCAGCTTACAACTTCTGGCAAGGTTCCTATACACATGTGGTGTACAACAACAACAATAATAATAATATTTTAAAAAGGCATGCAAGCAAATGCAACAAAATAATTCTTTACTTTTAAAGAAAGAAATGCACTTGCATTGTTCTCCCTGGGTTCAGGTGATTATCTTTCTGCCTCAGCTTCATACATAGCTGGACTCCTGTGCTTGCTCACTCTGGGTCCTGTTGAGTTTTGTGAGTAAGCACTGATTGCGTGGGTTAGGGTATAGTTTGTTTGGACAAGTGGAAGAAGGTGGTGAACCACACCATTGTGTTTGTTGTTCATATTTTTTTTTGACTCAAAATAATTGTGCCTTAAACACTTCATTGGCTACAGTGTTGCCACTGTGCAAGCTTGTGTACAATTTTATGCTCATGTGCTTCTGTAGATTGATTCCTAGCAGGGGAATTGCTGCTTCAGAGAATATGAACAACAGCTACTTCATTAAGTGCTGACTATGTGCCAGGCAGTGTTTTAAGCCCTTTTCATATAATTGAGCCATAAGTAAGCTATAGTCTCTGGGGCCCTGGTCTGTGTGGTTAAGATTAAAAATATGATACTCATTTTTGATTGCTGCTGAATAAAGTGAACAGTTCCAGACCACTCACTCTGAAGAGCTGTGTTATAATGATTGTGGGGTGGAGAAGCCCTGCAGTTCCCTGAAACTGGTCTCTTTGTAAATTTGTACACACAGTAGCCCTCTTTTTGGTATTCTCAGTTCTCTGTGTGTGTGTGTTGTGAGCAGGGTCTCACTCTGTAACACAAGCTGGTCTGGAAACTTGCTTTGGTGTGCTGGGATTGGAGGTGTGAGCCACCTCTTCCAGCTACCTTCACTCTGTACTGTGAACCTCCTGCCTCAGCCTCTTGAGCAGCTGGGATGACAAGGCTTCTCCATTAGGTCTGTTAAAGACCTTTAATGTTACTGCAAGGAAAGTTCTGGAGTGGTTGGGTTATTCTTTTTTGAGTGTGCCATGGTATGAAAGTCCTCTGAGGCAGCAAGCTGGCTCGGCAGGTAAAGGCATTTGCTGCAAAGCCTGACAACATGTTTCAGGCTCAAGGACCCACAGAATAGAAGAATAGGGTGGACTCCTGAGTGTCTTCTGAGACCCACATAGACCATGTATACATTCACATGAAGTAAATGATGTAATAACGACTTTGAAAGCCAGGCCTGTGTGTTAATACTTTGGCCGTTGCTGGGATTTATTTAGAGTACAGTTCATTGTGGCAAGAGAGGGGCAGCAGGGATGTGTGACAGACAGCTAGTCGGGAAAGAGAGGAGAGGAACAGTCCTGCTCCCCTCACCTCTTTAAGCTTTTATTCGTGTGTTTGTTTGTTCTGAGAAAGAGGTGAGGAAGTAGCTCTGTAGACCAGGCTGGTCATGAACTCAGATCTACCTGCTGCTGCCTTCTGAATGCGGGGGATTTTATTTGTTATTGGATGTCTGTGGGGTGGGGGTGCATATCATGGCATGTATGATGGAGTCAGGACAACTTTAGACTTGGTTCTCTACTAACTTTTCCTGGCTTCTGAGAATGGAACTCGTGTCCTCAGGCAGCAACTGCACTTTTGCTCCTGGGACCTGGGTCAGTTGCTGCCTCCCTTTCTCCTTTGTATTGGATGTGGGCCACCCCATTGGTGGTGCTACAGGCCTTCCCTCTTGTATTGAACCTATTGAACCTTTCTCACGCTGTAGACCAGGCTGGCTTCAACTCAGAGATTCACCTGCCTCTGCCTCCTTCGTGCTTGGAGTAAAGGTATGGACCACCATCATTGCCCAGCCTGTTGAACAGACCCAGAGCTGTGTGTATATGGTGATTCTAAATCTAATCAAGTTGAGCGAATATTAATCATGGGCTCTGAGGAGCTCTGGAGATGGAAAGCTGAGGGCATGCTTGGGGGTGAGTAGTTTGGTGACAGTAGGAGATAACACTAGTAAAGTGTAGATAAGTTCTGAACAACTAAATGTGAGCTGTAGGTTTTATCAGCTGGGATTGTTAACTCAGTATTGTTCTAGAATCTAGATGATGATTTTGTGGCCCTGTCAAGCTTGGAGCTCAGTGTGATGGCCAAGGTGGCTTTCCATTCACAGTCTGTGCCTGCGTTTATCTTAACCCCACCCCCCATTTTGTTTTGTTTTTCAAGACAGGGTTTCTCTGTGTCGCCCCTGCTGTCCTGGAACTTGCTTTGTAGACCAGGCTAGCATCCAACTCACAGAGACCCGCCTGCCTCTGTGTACCCAGTGTTGGGATTAGAAAGGGTCTCAAAGCTCAGGCTGACATAAAACAAAGGATGATGTTGAGTTTTCTTCTCCAGGTGCTTGAGATTATAGGGTGCACCGCACCACGTCCAGCTTTCTTTTTGTTTTTAGCTTTAGGATTATATAGTGCTATAGTCCAGGAAGGCTCCGACTCCCAGTCCTTGACTCCCAATCCTTCTGCCTTAGGGACAGTAGGGGTGCACCTCAGCATCAGGCCACTGTGCTTATTATTAAAGGCTCCTACATGAAATTCTGTGTAAGCACTCATGGCCATCAGAATGATTTTGGAGAAGAGCCCCTGCTCTTGACAGAGCTGGCCTGCTGCTGTATAGCAGGCAGACCCAGGGCAGCACAGGGTTACCAGAAGCCTTGAGTCGTCAGCCCCCAGTGTGGCTGTGATGGAGTCTGCACTGTCTGATCCTTTGGGCCTTGTCCACAGTGCAGAAGCAACGTCTGAATTGCCTTTTCAGACTTTGTAAATTCTGAGTTTAGATTATTTGTGGATCAAGACTTTCAGGATGCTGAGAAACAATCCCGCTTCTTATAACTGGGTTGCTTTTTTTGCGGGGGGTCTTATTTTCTTTCTCTTGACAGAGATTAAAACAATTCCTCTGCCTACTGTTTTTGTTATGCTCAGGTTGGTCTCAAACTTACTGTGTAGCCAGGCATGACTCTGAACCCCTCATCCTGTTTCCACCTCTTCAGTGCTGGGATAATAGGTGTGCACCCACACCTTCTTATTTATTCTTTTTGGTTTTTCAAGACAGCTGTCCTGGAACTCGCTCTGTAGACCATGCTGGCCTCAAACCCACCTGCCTCTGCCTCCAAGTGCTGGGATTAAAGGTGTGTACCAGCACCGCCTGACACTCCTTCATATTCTTAAACACACACTTTTATGCCAGTCATGTGTTTTGCTTGTGTGCTCCAGATTAAATAATGTTCTTGCAGAGCTGGGGTTATAATTCACTGGTAAAGCACTATGCAAGAGCCCTGATTCCAGTCCCAAGATCCATAAAATATGCTTGTCCGTGTTTACCGCCTCTGGTTATACTAGTTCGAGTGGACACACACAACCACCTCAGTCTTCTGTTCAGTGTGATGTGTCTTGTTTCATGTGACTTAGGGCTGAGTGAGGCCAGGGCCTTCTAGTGCCCACCGAGCTCTCATGCGATGCCCCGTTCTCATAGCACTGCTTTTCAGCCTGGCTTGTGTCTGAAGCAAGCCGAACCAAGCTTCCCCTTCCTGAGCGTGCGTGCTTACAGGGTCAGCTTTCTACAGTTAGGATACTTTCATTTCAGTTATCTACACGTTGATTTGTTGTTGTTTTTGTTTTTTTCCTTTTGTTTAAAATGTACCTCCTCCAGGTTTCTTTCTGTTGTTGAGACAAGGCTTCTGTAACTCAAGTCTGGTTTGAACTTCTGGAGAGCCCTCCTGCCTCAGCTGCTTGGCCAGAAAGGTTTTGTCTTCCTTTGTCCTCTTTTTACTTTGTAGCTCTGGGGATCCATGCAGGGCCTCCTATGTGGAAGGCAAAATTCTACCACCTGACCTATATCCCCAGCCCCGTAACTCTTGTAAGTCTTATGTTGAAGAGCTACCTTGTCCACTGTTTGCATGTCATGGTAGGTGCTCAATAAAGCAGCACTGTTCTTGCAGGATTGTTTGAAACCCACTGTCTAGGTGTGAGGGTTCAGTGGTGCTCTAGTATGTATAGTGAAAATGAAGTTTAATTCATTGTCCTGTGATTGAGCAAGTCCCACTATTTAGAATTGATTAAGTTAACATAGCCCGTGTCTTACAGGCTTCGAGCTTCCCGGGTGCTGATTGTCCGCATGAAAGGACTCGGGGCTGAAATCGCCAAGAATCTTATCCTGGCGGGAGTGAAAGGACTGACCATGCTAGATCATGAACAGGTTTGTGCCCTCTCTCTGCTCACCCTGGCTCCTCTCGAGTGAGTGCTGGGAGTGCCGTGGGCCGGTACAGCGCTCCTGAGCTGCCGACTCAGAAGTTCTGGGGTGGTTCAGGAATGGGCACAGTGAGAAGATGTCTCATTTTAATGCGATGGCACATGCCTGTAATCCCAACACTCAGGAGATTGAGGCAGGGTTGCAAGTTCAAGCCTAGCTTTTGATACATAAGTTAGATTCTCAAAAAAAAAAAAAAAACCAATAGTCACAATAATCTTGATGTAGATGGTTTGAAAAATACTAAATTTTTAAGTGCCAAGAAGCACTTAAAAATGAAAAAATGAAAAAAAAAAACCTAAGGAAATAGGTTTCTGTGAGCAAGCTGTCAAGACAAAGGCGTGCCTAAGACTACAGTGCCCTCTAGAGGCAGGAGCACGTTTGTTCAAGACACTTTGTAACTGGTAGCTCTTATTAAAATGGAAGTGGGATTTCCTAAGCCACCGTCTGGCTGTGGGACTCCAGTGGGTCTGTCCTATGTCAAGGGGTGTGTGATGTGTGTCTGATACCACGTCAGAATAGTGCCAAGGGCTGCCCAGTGTTGGGAGGCTGATTTTCTTCCTTACACACTGGGGAGGGCCACAGCGCTCTCTCTCTCTCTCTCTCTCTGTCTCTCTGTCTCTCTCTCTCTCTCTCTCTGTCCCTCTCTCTCTCTCTCTGTCTCTCTCTCTCTCTCTCATGTGGATCGCTTCAGGAATTTATGTGTCCCCTTGCACAGGGGCCACGCTAATCTCTGTATCCTTCCAACTGTAGTACATGTGCTGCCAAAGTGTGCGCCTCCTCCTGAAGCAGTGGCTCTCACCCCTGCTACATTGTAGACGGCGGCAGCTGGCGGCGGAGGCGGCGGCTAAACAAAACATAGTCAGAACAGATTTAAGCAGAGACCTTAGACTTTGGTTGGAGAGAGTTTCCCTTGTAAACACAAGAGGGTGCTATTTAACCATCAGTGCTCAGTTTAAAATAGTTTAACCATCCTGTGTTGGAAGCCTCAGACGGAAGAAGAAGAGCGGGAGCCCGTCTTAGAATTCCTGTTGGTGTGATAAACACTGGCCAAAAGCACCCTTTCCTTCGCAACTCTCAGGCCACATTCCATGACTGAGGGAAGTCAGTGAAACAGGTCATAGGGAATGCTGCTCACTAGCTTGCTCAGTGCCACCACCCACAGTGAGCTAGGCCTTGTGTGCTTAAGAAAATGCCCCACAGACTTGCTTTAGCCATCTGATGAAGGCATTTTCTCATTTTGAATTCTTCCCAAATAATTCTAGCTTGTGTCAAGTTGATTTAAAAAACTATTCAACTATAACTTTTTCTGTCAAATTTGTCTTCGATATGGTGTTAATATTAATACTCTAATATAAAACCTAACCAAACCCCCCCCCCCCGCCCCGCCCAGAAAGGGTTTCTTTGTCTGTTCTAGAACTCAATCTGTAGACCAGGCTGGCTTTGAACTCACAGAAATCTGCCTGCCTCTGCCTCCTGAGTGCTGGGATGAAAGGCGTACGGCGGCACCACCTGGCCATACCAATTTTCAAAAGTCCCACAGTAAAGATTCAAACACTTTAAAAGTTCAGTTTCTTTAAACTTCAAAATACCTGTTCGGGTTTCTCTAAAATACCCAGAGTTCGCTCCTGCAGAATTAGAAAAGGGAGGGGTGAATGCCTCCTTAATCTAAAAGGGAAAAGCCTAGTACAATGGAAACAAAACCAAAGTCCAGTAGTGTAAAGCTTGGCGTTAGACTTCTTCCACTCAGGTTCTTCTGGGATTCAAAGATCTTGAGGAGCTCAATTCCACAGCTGTCACAGTCCTTGGTCTGTGGCAAGTGGGCTGCACCTTCACCACAAGCTCCTCTGGGGTTTTCCTCAGGCACTGCACTCTGACGCTGCTGTACCCTAGCTGCTCTCCGTGACCCCTTGTGTCTTCAAAAGCAGTACCTCTGGGGACTCTTGCATTGTCGAGTTTGGCTGCCAGTGCAGGGTGTGCTCTTGGCTTCCTCTGGGTTACAGCTTTAGTGTGATGACCCCGAGCAAACATTTCCTAGATTTTGCCTCAATGATACTAGCTAATCTCTCCTTTTGCTTTGTTTTGAGATGGTTTCTCTGTGTAGCCCTGGCTGTCCTGGACTTTGTAGAGCAGGCTGGCCTCAAACTTCTAGGCTCTTCTTCCCAGTGCTAGAATTGAAGGTCACACACACAGCTTAGACAGACAGATTTATATAGGAATAATAATCATTGTGGGCTTTTTAGTATCCATATAGATTTGATGTCTTTGAGATTTACATTCCAGAAAGACTGAAGAATTAAGGAGATTTTTTTTTTTTTTCACCCTAGGTATCTCCAGAAGACTCTGGAGCTCAGTTCTTAATTCAGACTGGGTCTGTGGGCCGAAATAGGGCTGAGGCCTCTTTGGAACGAGCCCAGAATCTCAACCCTATGGTGGATGTAAAGGTGGACACTGAGGATATAGAGAAGAAGTCTGAGGCATTCTTCACTCAGTTTGATGCGGTGAGTCTCTTAGCAATAACTCTGGTTCAAGAGTCAGCAAGTTCAAGTAGTAGTGGAAGCTTAAGTGTGGGTTCACCACACTGTAATCCCAGTGCTTGGGAGCAGAGGCAAGAAGGACTGCTTCAAGCTTGATGCCAGCCAGGACTCCATAGCAAGATTAACTGTAGGTATACTAAAGCTTTCAGATAGCACACTGTGAGCTTCCCTCTCATGTATGTTTGTAAGCTTCTGTTCTTTAGGCTTGACGTATTAAATATGTTTCTTTGTAGGTCCAGTCTGTTGGACCTGTTGTGGTTGTTTGTGAGGTGCCTGCTGGCTGCTGGCTGCTTCTCTGTCTGGGCGTATGTTCTTCCCCCAGACTAAGTTTCAGCATTAGTATTTTTATCTTCTGTCAGAATCTTTGCTCATGTGTTCTCCTGAAAACTTAAGTCATGGATTAATTTTGTTGCCAGCTGCACTTAATTTGTTAGAAATACCAAGCTGTAGCTTGTTTTTGTGTTAAGAAAGATCATACCTAGCCAAGCTTGGTGGCACATGCCTATAATCTCAACATTTCACAGATGGCGACAGGAGGAATAGGAGAAGAAGACTCAGTTTGAGGCCAGCCTGGGCTACATGAGACTCTTGTCTTTTGTGGGGCTGGGCGGGGGGATTTGAGCAGAGTTTCTCTGTGCAACCCTGGCTGTCCTACAGCTTCTTCTGCAGACCAGGTTGGCCCTGAACTCTGAGATCCACCTGCCTCCCAGATGATGGTATTAAAGGCATGCACCACCAAGCATGGCTGACTGTCTTAAAAAAAAAACAAAAAACTAAAGATGGCCAGAACTTAACATCTATCTGATCTTGATGTATTTGTGCCTTTTTTTTTTTTTTTTTTATTTAAACACAGCCGCTTTGTCCGTGGACTTGGCAGAATCACTACAAGATAAGCCAGATGAGGCATACCCAACCTCATTTACTCTCAGTTCCAAGGCTATGAGAGGGGGAAGGAAAAGCTACATTCTGTGTCAGTGCATATGTTTTTTCCTGTTCGTTTTTGAGACAGGATCGCTCTACAAATTCCTAGCTGTCCTGGAACTCACTCTGTAGACCAGGCTGGCCTTGAACTCATAGAGATCCGCCTGCCTCTGCCTCTTAAGTGCTGGGAGTACAGCTGTGTGCTGTCACACTTGGTCACACACATAAGTAGCTAGCTGTAGTGGTGCATAGCTTTAGTCGTAGTGCTTGAAATAGAGGCAGGCCTGGTCTACAAGAGTGAGTTCCAGGCCAGTGAGGCTGTGCTGAGAGAACACCTGTGATCCCAGCACTTGGGAGGCAGTGGCAGGCAGATCTCAGTGAGTTCCAGAACAGCCAGGGCTATTGCAAAGACAAACTCTATGTTTGAAAAAAAAAAAAAAAAAAAAAGTAAATGAAATAAATTTTGTGTGTGTTGGGGAGGTTTTCCTCAAACATGACCTTTGAGTCAGTTAGAAAACTTGCTTGATTTTAAAAGATCAGATAATAGTTTAGATTACCCTGATATTGCTGTCTTCCTGAGAACTGTAAAGTGTAGCTTATATGTTCTTGGATTAAGGGAACAGATTCTTGAGTGGTTTTACTTTCCAGCTAAATCCTCTTAGTTGTCAAAAAGTGCTATATCATTTTCAACTCCCTGAAACCTGCAACTTCTCTTGTGTTTTGATCATAGCACCCAAAGAACGTGTTGTACCTGTTGAAACCTGTCTGAAGCCTGCTGGAGGGACGGTTAATTTAAGGGTTACGTAGACAGCAGGGCAGTGACTCGGTTTTCAGCTCTTACAGCCAGCCCCTGTCTCTCTGCAGGTGTGCCTGACTTGCTGCTCCAGAGATGTCATTGTTAAAGTCGACCAGATCTGTCACAGAAACAGCATCAAGTTCTTCACAGGAGATGTCTTTGGGTACCATGGGTACACCTTTGCAAATCTTGGAGAGCATGAGTTTGTAGAGTAAGTGCTGGGAGGGTAATGGGGGAGCATTTCCAGTTAGAATAGTGTTTGTGGTAGGAAATGAACTGTCTGAGTGAAGTTGCTTACTCTGCTATAATACTTAAAACATTATGAGACAAGCAGGTAACAAATCACTAAGTAGAGAGCTTTGTGGGTTCACATTTTTGTTGTTTTCTTCAAGACAGGGTTTCTCTGTCTGGTTGTCTTAGAACTCACTCTGTAGACCAGGCCAACTTCCAACTCAGATCTACCTAACTGTGCCTCCTGAGTGCTGGGATGGAAGGCATGGACAAAGTGAATCCTATGGGTATCCCAGACTCCTGAACTTAAGGGCTGGAACTCATCCATGCTGTCCTTGGGAGGCAAGCTTGGGTTTTAAGTTCTTGTTCCCTAGTTTGTGCTTTCATGTTGAGAGATGGTGGAGAGAGTCCTTTGGGCACATTCAGCTTGCTTTTTAAAAGCTCCAAGGTCCAGGGCCTACTATAGTAGAGCACAAACCTTGTCCCTCATTTTGAACATGAGACTTCAGAGCTTAATGATTCTCACATGTCAAGACCTGCAGTTATTTTATTTACAGGCTCTAAGTGAAAGATGGCAGACAATAGAAATTATAAAACTATATAAGCTGGGTGCTTGGCTAGCATTTATTATATTTTCATATTCTCCCTCCCTCTCTCCCTCCTCACCTCCCTCCCCTATCTGCCCCTCCCATCTCTGTTTCTCTCTCTCTCTCTCTTTCTCTGCATCTGAAGTCTACCTTGCAAATGAGTGGTACAGAGAGAACCTAGGCCCGATTGAGCAGATCTTGGTATGAAGCAATGCCCTCATTGTTCAGCCTCTCCTACAAGCCATTGGTGGTTCTCTAGCACACAAGGTTCTTGTCTGTAAAACGAAATTTTGAGCCGGATGGTGGTGGTGCATTCCTTCAATCCTAGCACTCTGGAGGCAGAGGCAGGACCAGCCTGGTCTACAGAGTGAGTTCCAGTACTACACACATGCGCACACGCACAGACACACACACACACACACCCCCTATGAAAGAAGGAAGGAAGGAAAGAAAGTAACAATGGAAGGGACAAACATGTTCTTTCCATTTTCTCCCCCCCCCCCCCCGTCACACAGAAACTTTAGAAAGTCTGGTTCTAGGAGGTTCTACATTAAGCAGTTATAACGAAAGCAGGCTATTTTAGTATGAGATTCCCACAGCAGAAGGAATAATTAGGTTTAACTCTTTATTTTTTGTTGTTTTATTTTGAGATAAGGTTTCTCTGTAACAGCTGTCCTGGAACTCCCAGGTTGGCCTTGAAATCACAGAAATCCGCCTGCCTCTGCCTCCCAAGTGCTAGGGTTAAAGGTGTGCACCACCACACTTGGTCAGGTTTGGTTCTTTAGGTCACTGTTCCTGAAGAATGTTTGCAAACATTTGTTTATGCTGAGTTTGCTTACACCTTCTCTTCCCCTAATCACATCAGGGACAGCTATTCCCAGAGAGGTTAACTGGCTCACCTGGTCTTCAGTGGCTGAGGTGAGATTTGAACCCAGGCCCATTGACCCCAAAGCTGTCTTGCAGTTTGTTTTTTCCTAGACAGGGTTCCTCTGTGTTGCCCTGACTGTCATGGAACTCACTGTGTTGACTAGGCTGTCCTCGAACTCTGCTTTTTTTGCTTTTGCATACACATATCCTGTTAGCTGGTAGCATTTTTTAAAAATCTTCATATTCCAGTCATGTGACTCCGGGCTCAAACTTGATTTCCTTCCCTTGTCCCTCTAGAGAGAAAGCCAAAGTCGCCAAAGCTGGTAAAGGGGTAGAAGATGGACCCGACAGCAAGAGAGCAAAGCTGGATTCATCCGAGACAACCATGGTCAAAAAGGTGATGGTGCCAAAGCCTAGGTCAGAGAGCCAGGGGAACCTTGGGATGGACCCTGCCCATCTAACAGGGTATAGCAGCTACTGCTCTTCCTCAGAGAACATGGGTTTATATTCCAAATGCGATGTTCAAGAAAATTAGAAATCCTTTACAATTGTGGCATCTGTTCCGGTACTGTTCTGGTGTTGCACCATGGTAGGCAGACACGGCAAGCATGTTTAACTTAGTTGGCATAGAATGCATCACTTTTGACCTCTGGTGTCTGGAGACATTTTCCCTCCCTTACCAGGCACCCCATCACAATCATTTTCTCTTTTTAGATTGGTATAGAGGTCCGAACTGGGCAGGAGCCAGTTTAAGCTTGAATTTTTTATTTTTTGATGTACAAGCATGATGACCAAGTTCATTGACAGATTCTGGGGGCGGCAGCTAGGCATGGCAGCTTGTATTTAAATCCAGCGCCGGGGAGGTAGAAACTAGAAGACTGGCAGCCAGTGTAGAGACTTCCAGGTTTAGTGATAGATTCTGTCTCAAAAAAGAGGGGCTAGAGCTCGCTCTTGTTGGGGACCTGGGGTCAGTTCCCTGTGGCACATAAATGGTAGCTCATGCCTGTAATCCCAGCATTGAGGAGGTAGAGGCTAGGAGTTATAAATTCATGTGGCCCAGTTTCTAGGTTAGCCTCGGCTGCATGAAACTTTAGGCAGAAAGGTCTTTGTATGTAGTAGTCACTGGTGGTGTGTATGGTGTTTCTTTTTCTTGTCCCCCACCCCACCTCCAGTATTGGGTATAGAACCTAGGGGCTTGCCCATCTCGGTTGAGTGAGTTGAGCCTCAACGCCACTGTGTACTTAGTGAAGTGTATGTTAGTGATTGAGCCACTGTTTGGGTCTGGTGTGGTGTTTAGTCTCATTTTAGAGAAAGCAGTTAGGAAAGGGGGCAGAGAAGGAAATCTTATACTGGAGAAAAAATTTAAAGTGGTTGGTGTTGGTTTTGTTACTCTGAGAAGTGATGTGACCAGGCCCGTATTTACTCTTTACCTTGTGGATTGAAATGTTGAGAAAGGAAACAGCTGGTCAGAATGTCCTGCACTGGGGCATTGAGGGTCCACGTAGTGCCGGGTCCACACAAGGGGGACTAAGGCCCCCAGCAAGGCAGAGCTGAGCATTCTTTCCCTTACTTTTGTGTTTGTTGGGTAAGCTTTATCTGTGGGCCTGATGCAGAGGAATTATTAAGCTCTAATTTTAGTGTCTATTCACAGGACTGTAATTACGCAGAGTGAACAAGAGCTTGGACCAAACCTGGGGTCCTTTCTTTCTGAGTCCCAGTCAGGCTTTCTCTGCATGGCTGCCTGAGTTTGGTGGGGGGAGAAACTTTGCTAACAAATGGAGGGCACAAAAGGAACATTGTGGGCTGCTGTGTCAGTTTATAAATCACACTCTCTTACGTGTGACACTTGGCCCTGCTGTGAAGGGTTTTATGGCTTAAGGGCCTTCTCTGATTGAGGCCTGCTTTTTGCATTCAGACAGAAAATGCCCTGGCTTTGTTAGCCATTCACAGCTGGAAGTATCTATCCCTGGAGTCACTTGTGGTAGTGCCCTCTAGGGTGGCCACTCTTGGAGGAGCCACTTTCTCTCACTATGAGGAGAATGTGGGGAGCCCAGGCAGGTACTTGGCAGCCTTGGTGTGCCATTCCTGAGGGCTCTGCCGGCGCTTTGCCTTTTGTGCGGTGTCTTCCTTTACAGGGGACAGAAATTGAAGATATCAAAATATTCCCCAGCTGACATTGTTAGTCAGCTGTTACAATGGGACTGTTGAGCTAGGATTCCAGGCCTGAGCCCTCGAGGGTGCACAGCGTGCAGCACATTCCTTCAGACAATCCCCTGGATCCCAGACCTTGGCTGTGTGCCTCACCAGGGCACAGTGCAAGGGCGGGGTGTGGCAGGGTGTGGGCCTGTGCCTTTGCCACATGGCACTGACAACTTCTCCATTTGGGCAGGGGACCCTTAGGATTTTATTTTATTCCTAATGTTTTGGGACAGGTTATCACTGTGCAGCCCTGACTGACATGGAACTCAGAATGTAGACCATGCTCCCCCAAATCTTTCTGCCTGTCTGAGTGCTGGGCTTAAAAGTGAATCCCACTAGGCCAAGCAGCCCTGGGATTTTGAAATTCTTTCCAGTTGAGAAGTTCTTCCGCACAGATTTTAAGGTTCCTAAATTGTACAGAACAACTAGTTGGGCTTTACCCAGCGATGGCAGGATGGGGTGGGGAAGCAGCTACTTCCTGTTTCCTGTGAAAGTCTGTCAGTGCCCCTGTCCTCCCACTAGTCCTAGGTTCAATCAAATGTTGTAAAACCACTTTGGGTTCAAGGTACACTGTGTGCTCCTAAATTAGAAACTTCAAAAGACAAAGAGGAAAAACAGAGCTTGTGGTTTTCACACATCTAGGAAGCTTGGGCCTTTCTAGCACACGTGTGCCTGTGATAAATAGGGCATTGGGAAAGGTCTGACTGGAGGCAACTGGCATTGAGGAGTTTGTTAGCAACTTTTTTGATATTTTGGTTTTTAAATTATTACACTTGTTTACTCCTGTGTGTGTGTGTGTGTGTGTGTGTTACCACTGAGCCACTGAGCTACAGCCCTAATCTTTCCTTTAGATTTTGATGTCTGGGCTGGTGACTTGCCAGTGCAGGGGGTAAGGAACCTCTAAGTGGGCCCTCCAGGACATGGTGGGAGGAGAAAATTAACTACAGATTGGCCTCTGACTTTTTTGTGTCTATATGTGTGCACACACAATAAATAACTAAACAAAACATGAATGAGCACGCTTTAAAGTAGTAGATTTTATTCCTAGGCCAGTCTTTAGCATAGTTGGTCAGGAAAGAGTTTAGTGTGGTGGCACTTCCTGTAGCGGATAACGGTACCTACCCTGAGGAGACCTGTGTCATTTTAAACTAGGCTGTGGGACAGACTGTGATGGACTAAGGTGAGTTTTACAGCACGTTAGTTTTTGTGCGTGGTCAGAGAGAACAGAATCCCCAAGAAGCTAAGGGTTTTGCAAGAAGGGACTTGCTGAATTGTCGAGACAAGGACCTGTAGGCCAGTGCAGTTGTGGCCCATCCAGATGGAAAGATCCATTTGGTTCTCGGCTTCTCGGGAGAACAAGTGACCTTTTCATGGGGTTTCCTAAGACCGCCAGAAAACACAGTTACTTACATTATGATTTATAGCAGTGGCCAAATTACAGCAGTGTAGTAGCAATGAGAATAGCTTTATGGCTCCCAGCACACGATCTCTGAGATGAAGGCCAGCCAAGGCTACATAGGAAACCCTTTCTTGAAAAACCAAAAATAGAAGATATTATGGTTGGGGTCACCACTGCATGAGAAACTATTAAAGGGTTGTGGCATTGGAAAGTTGAGGACCACTGGTTTAGAGGTCTGCCATGCACTGGTGTCTGCCTGCAGAGAGTTTGGTAGGAACTGGCACCAGGGTTTTCCAGGGAGGGCAGTTAACCAAGATGGGGAGTGGTGTCTTGTCTTGAGGGGGAAAGCTCAGTTCCTGTGAAGTGAACACAGACAGGCTTAGCCTTCATCACTCCAATAATGGGGGGGGGTCCGATTTACCATCCATGCTCTCTTAGATACCCCAGCTGGATTTGAACTCAGCTATAGCCCAAAGAGGCCTTTCCTTTCAGCCTTCCCACTTCAGAATGCTGAGTTTATAGGGTGTACTGTTACATCTGTTGCCACTGTTAACTGACACGTGTTTGTGTATGTATGATGTATATTTCGTGTACAAATACATGCCACGTCCTTGCAGATTATCAGTCATAATAGAACAAACACTGTCTTCATCAGATACCCACGTTCTCAGTGTTAGCACAATAATCTGTAACCCTTTGCTGTATTCTCGGCTTCATTTTACAACTAAACATGTGACTCTGGGGCTGCTAGGCTGTGTTAATGGATTTAAAAGACACCTGAGCAAGGCAGCAGTGGCGCACGCCTTTAATCCCAGGATTTAGGAGGCAGAGTCAGGGGGATCTCTGTGAGTTTGAGGCCAGTCTGGTCTACAGAGCTGTTACACAGAGAAACCCTGTCTCAGAAAAAAACAAAAGGCACCCGGAAGGGTCAGGTTCCCACTTACCCTTATTTGCCTTTGAGTTTAATGTTGTTTATAGATATAAAGAACTCAACTTTGGGGACAGGAGAGATGGCTCAGCATTTACGAGTACATGTTGCCCTTGGAGAGGATTCCAGTTCCAATACACAGCATTCACACACCTGCAGTAAACGAATGGCTTGTTTTTAAAGTTACTCTTAAAAAAAAAAAAAATAGGAGAACACAACTTTTATGCAGGAGTTTAGGCATAAGCTAAGACTTAGCTAGCACCATATATACTACCGAGTTAAAGTAGCAAATGTCTCTGGCATGGCTGAGCATTTTTGCTCTCTCGGTATAAGCAATCACACTTGCTCTCTGTCTCTTCACTACTTCAGAACTGGTTTCATGTTGCATGTATGCTGCCATGTCACCTGCTCTGTAAGAGCAGTATTATTGGTGAGGCCATCTATTTGTGTGTCTTTGTGGAGCTTTGCCGTCCCGTATGGTAGTTACTAGCCATATATCGCTGTATGATACTAAATACAATATAAAAACAGATACTGTTAGTGCTTGATAACCACCAGTGGCTGCTGGCATGAGTTACACAGCGTGTACATATGACCTACTCCGTCATAACAGGTTCTCTTGGACAGCACTGCCGAGCTTTGGTTGTGCGAAAACATTACTGTTTATGTATCGGTACTGTTGATGGCATTCGGGTGTGTAAACTTTTCTTGTTAGAAATTGTGCTGCAGTGAGCATTGTATTTGTATATGTGAGACTACATATAATCTACTTGGGCAATTGTGTTCATTTTTGTAGGATAAAATTAGTATAAAGGCATCTTAAATTTTCTCAGATTCTGTTAAATTACTCTCAAGGTTTTTTTTTCCCTTGTTACTACGCACTCCATGCTGACCTTGAAGTTGTCATTCTCCTGCCTCTGCCTCCCACATAGTGGGAGTATGCATATGCCACCACCTATATATATGCCACCAGCAAGTGGTTGTAGCATGACTTTAATCCCAGTACTTGGGAATCAGAGGCCAGCGGATCTCCAATTTTCAGGACATCCTGGTCCTCCGTGAATTCCAAAGTGGCCAGGGCTAGACAGTCTCAAAAAGCCAAATAAAAAATTTTCCCTTGGGACTAGAGAGACGGCTCAGTGGTTAAGAGCACTGACTGCTCTTCCAGGGGACCCCGGTTCAATTCCCAGCACCCACATGGCAGCTCGCACAGATCCTTTGACTCTAGGATCCAATACCTACACACAAATATACATACAGGCATCAACTTTTTCCCCTTTATTGTATATGTGTATGGGTGTTGTGCCAGCATGAGTGTGTGTGTGTGTGTTTACACATGTACGAATGTATGTGTACATGTACCACATGCATTTTATGGAAGCCAGAAGAGGGGTCGGATTCCTTGTGACTAGAGTTACATGTAGTTGTGAGCTGCCCTGTGGATAATGAGAATCAAACCCAGGCCTGATGCAAGAGCAGCCAATGTTTTTTGCTCCTAAGCCAACTCATTCTCATTTCTTAGCAACCTGTAATCAGTTTTAAATCTGGATGAGTGGATACGCTGTATTTATGCCATTCATTCTTATTTAAATATGAGTTGTACATGTGTGCAGATACAAGTTGCACACAGAGGCAACCTGAGGTTGCCTCTTGATTGTCTGAGGTTTTCTAGATTGCTGTGTTTAATTTATACAATGAGGTAGAGTGCCTTGCTTGAACCCAGAGCCCACCAGTTCAGTTAGTGTAGCTAGCCAGCTTCTCAAGTACTACATCCTAACCGGTGATCAGCTACATTTATTTCTGTCTATATTGCCAGTGAGTTCACACCGATATCTCAGCCACAATGTTCATTCTAGTTTCTTACTGTTTCATGTGTTAATTCTCTTCTAATAAGCAAGCCTGACTCCCTGGATTCTAGTACTTGCTTGTGTCAGCCACTGGATGGAACCAGGGTCCTGTCAGTTTCTTTGAGGATGGCCTTCTTATAATATCTGCTTAGACCTTTCACCCAGGACAACCATCTTCTGGATGCTTGTTTGGAAATTCCCTTTCCAGAAAATGTCTTTGTGTGAGGGTAGAAGGGTTCAACTTTAGACACCATTACTCATAGAAAAACAAGTGATGTTTGGGTTTTTTAAAAAATGTTTATTTTAGCAGGGTTGGTGGTGGTGCAAGCCTTTAGTTCCAGCATTTGGGAGGCAGAAGCCAGTGGATCTCTGGATTCAAGGCCAGCCTCCTCTACTGAGTGAGTTCCAGGATAGCCAGGGCTGCACAGAGAAACCCTGTCGTGGGAAGGGGCAGATTGTTTTATGTTTAATTATGTGTATGTGTGTTGGTATGTTTAGATGCCTTTGTGAGTACTAGTCAAAGGCTTGAGATCTCTTGGAACGGGAATTATAGAACTATAGGAACTGGACATGAATACTGGGAATTGAACTTAGTTCCTCTGTAAGAAAAATGTGTGCTCTTAACTACTATGCTATCTCTCTAGCTCACATATTCTCTCTTTTTGGTTTTTCTAGGTAGGGTTTCTCTGTGTAACAGCCCTAGCTGTCCTAGAACTTGCTTTGTACACCAAGCTGGCCTCCAACTCAGAAATCCACCTGACTCCTGAGTGTTGAGATTAAACGACTAACACTAATCCTAACCTACCACCTGACTAACTTTTGCTTTTCTTGTATATAATTATAAATAATGCTCTATTTAATAACTTTAAGCTTTTGAGGTTGAGTCTTGTTGTGTAGTAGCTCAAGCTGCCTGGCCTCAAGCTTGTCATCCTCCTGCCTCAATCCCCTGGGTCCTGAAATTAAAGTCCTGTGTACCACCTCATCCAGTTGAGTCTGGTTCGTTGGGAGGCTGAAACAGGAGGATCTCTGCAAGTTTGAGGCTATGGTGGTCTATATAGTTTCAGCCTGAGCTACACAGTGTGACCAAAGAATGAACCAGGTCTCAGGAGATTGGCTGCATAGGGAGCATGTGTCCATCCTTATGTCCCCAGAGTGCAGGAAGTAGTTCTTGGGTCTCGGTGGGCAGTGGCTCCCTAGAATAAGACTTTGATTCAGACCAGCATGCTTGTCCCTGTGTTGCTAAGCTCTGTCTTTTCCCACAGAAAGTGCTTTTCTGCCCTGTGAAGGAGGCGCTGGACGTGGATTGGAGTGGAGAGAAAGCCAAGGCCGCCTTGAAGCGCACAGCTCCAGACTACTTTCTGCTGCAAGGTGAGGCCTAGAGGTGGAGTCACCTCAGGGTTAAATGCAGCCTCACTGAGGTCTGCCTCCTGGTCTCTCTAAACCAGTCTGAATAACTTGTTCTCCAGAAATGTGGCCTCAAACCCTTTCTCTTGACAAAAGTTTTGTCTTTTCTTTGAGTTGTTTGCTCTGCTCTAGTTGCAGTAAGGCCTCACTTCGAGTGACCCTCTTGCCTCAGCCTTTCATAGTTGCCACCGACCTAGCTTCTCCCTCACTGAATGAGCCATATTTCTGTATATCCTTGCTGGTATTTAGGGATTTGTTTGCAAAATACTGCTTGTCTTAGTGTTATTCCTGTTCCTGACAATTTCACTTGTTTGTTTGTTTTGTTTTTCTAGACATGGTTTTTCTGTGTAGTCTTGGTTATCCTGGGACTCACTCTGTAGATCAGGCTGGCTTTCACACTCACAGAGATCCACCTGCCTCTGCCTGCCGAGTGCTGGGGTTAAAGGTGTGTGCCACAATGCCTGGCTGAGGTTCAGTTTTTAAATGCCATTTAAAAAATAATTGTTGGGACATGGTACATTTGCCTATAATCCTAGCACTTGGGATTCAGACATAGGAGAATGATAAGACTCATCCTAGTGAGCTTAATGACAGCCTCAACCACAACTACGTGAAATGATGTCTTGAAATCAGGAAAGGGACAGAGGGTAGGGAGTTTCAGGGATGAACTATTTTAAACCCTGAGTGTCCATTCATACAGAAGTATTTAAGTGGGTTAAGTAGGAATGAGTGTTAGGCATGTGAGAAATGCCTCCCCTAAGGACTCTGGGGCTCTGTGTGGAAGAAGTAAGTGCCAGCTGTACTGTGAGTGTCGGCACCTGCTCCTCCGGGCCAAGGTTCTCTGCAGGCCCTGTCTGGCACGGGAAGGGAGCAGTGGCCACTAGTTTGCAGCATTTGTGGGTAAGGTGAAACCATCTCTAACAATTGCTTATGAAGAAGCCCCCTAGTCTTACCTGGACTGTGTTTCTGTAGTTCAGTTCTGGTCCTGGTAGTTAGGACTTGGTGGGGAGCATTCCTGTCATCTAATGGGAAAGGTGAGTGATGTCACTAAACATCCCCACAGCAGCTCCCGTGGCAGAAATTGGGCCGATGGAAATGTGAATGCAAGCTCTCGCCTCACTCCTATAGTCCTAGCTCTGGGGAAGCTGAGACAGGAGAATTGTAGCAAGTTCAAGGCTAGAATTAAAGTAAAATAATAACAAAAAAGGATGTCATGTCTGGGAATGCAATTTCTGGGTTTTTGTTTGTGTGCTTTTCCCATTTGTCTCAACATTGTAGTAGTCTCCTAAAATGTGTAGATGGTCCTTTGTTTGATTTTCATTTGTATTCATTCATTCATTGAAGACAGGTTTCTTTTTGTAGCTCTGACTGTCCTGGATCTCTTTAGAACACCAGGTTAGCCTTTGACTCAAACCCGCCTGCCTTGCCTCCTGCTCTCTTGTGCTGGGATTAAAGACATATGCCTCTGTGTGGTAGTAGGGTGAACCCAGAGCTTTATGCTGTCTGGGCTGGGCGAGCATTCCCAGTATGGGTCCAGCCCTGTGAAGTTTGTGTCGAGTCCATGTAGGCCTGGGTACCAAGAACATTCAGGTGCCTTGGCTTGGAGGGGCAAGAGATTCTTGTTTTGTTTTTAGGTAGCTACATCGCCCAGGTGCTGGCATCCTAGTGTCTGTACTGTACCTGACATTGACTGTAACGCCATGGCCGTGTGTTCTTGTCCGTGTTTGAGACAGGGTCTTAATAACTCTGTCTGTCCTGGAACTCTTTATGTTGACCAGGCTGGCTTTGAACTTACAGAGATCCATCTGTTTCTGCCTCCCGAGTGCTGGGATGACTTACAGTTCTTGAGACCAGGTGTTTGAAATAAAAACTGACCTGATTTTGCTGGCCTCTTCTGCCATTTTTCTGAGAGGAGGGATCCTTACATCCCCAGGGTCTACAAGTCTATTTAATATAAATTCTGAAAGGGGATAGGGGTGTGCCTCAGTACTGAGAGCTCTTAGCATACACGAGGTCTTGTGTTCAATCCCTAGCACCGCAGGGATTGGTGGTAGAGAGCAAAGAAGAAAAGTAACACAGTGTGGGGCTGCATTTTCAAACCCACCACCTCATTACCTGTCCTGAAGCAGCTCACCCTCTGCTTCTGCAGAGGCCACACTGAATGAGATAAGCGCTGGCTGTTAGTCACCAAAGCCTATTCCTGTCTCCATGATGCAGTACTGTCATCTACTTCACTGCCAGTCTAGACAGTGAGTAACTGTGTGGAGCTCACCTAAAATCCCAGCGCTCAGGAAGCACAGGCAAGAGGATTGCTATGACTTCCAGGCCAGCTGGGCCTATGGGAGGGGGGAGGACCCAACAGATTGGGCAGGAAATTGAATAATGAGACTCTATGACTAGTTGGAAGATCTGTGTTGTATTCATATTTTTTTTTGGGTTTATGGTACTGAATATTCAATCCATGACTTTATGTTAGGCAAACTCTTTACCACTGAGTATATCTGCAGCCCCTTATTTTTGTTTGTTACTGGTTTTTGGTTGTTTGTTTTGAGATGTACTCTTAGTAGAAGCAGGCCTAGTGGCACTGGATGCCCAATCCCAGGTTCTTAGGAGGCTGAAGCAGGAGGACAGCAAGTTCAGGGTCTGTGTACTGTAGCATGATCTCAGGGCCCGCCTAGACAACTTAATGAAACCCTGTCTTAAAACAAGAGATAGAAAAGGGCTGGAGGGTGCATCCCAGCGGATAAGAGTGTCTGCCTTGCCTGTGCTAACTGGCCTTAGGATCCTTAAGCGGCTTCAATAAGAAACTAACATGCAGGAGCTGGTGGCACACGCCTTTGATCCCAGCCCTCAGAGGCAGAGGCAGGTGGATCTCTGTGAGTTCAAGACCAGCCTGGTCTACAAAAAGAGTGCCAGGACAGCCAGGGGTGTTACACAGAGAAACCCTGTCTCAACAAAAAGACAGAGAAAAAGAAACTGAACAGACCATCTCTCTCAAAGTGAAAAAAATACATGAACTAATAAATCATACACCCACAGAGTTGTTTGAAGTATAAAAAATGTACAAAGATAAATACGCAAATGCATTCATATTTCTCTAGATTACTTAGAATTTTTGCTTAAGAGACTGTCAGTTAATTTCCTCTCATCTCATAGCTGAGTAAACAAACTCCTCAAAAGACAAATTGCCTTTTTACCCCTATGACGGAGGGTTTCTCTGTAGCCCTGGCTGTCCTCGAACTTGGAGATCCTCTGCCTCCTGAGTGTTGGTGTTAAAGGTGGGCACTGCCACTGTTGAACAGCAAATCGATTTCTGTACACAAGATCCCAGTTAATGGCAAGGAAGCTTAGCATCGCCAGTACACACATAGAAGCTGCCTTGCTGTTTTGTAAAGTGGAATGAGGTTAACATGCATGCGAGTCTTGTGGTTGGGGTCTGGAGGCATAGACCAGCATTAGGAGCACCGCTGCTCTTAGAGAAGGCTGGAGGTCGGTTCCTAGCATCCACATAGAGGCACGTAGTCATCCATAACTCCAGTTTCAGACTATCCAACCCTTCTGATCGCCATGGTCCCCAGGAACACATGTTGATCACAGGCTATATGCAAACAAAATGCTCATACACAAAGTCTAAGAAATTTTTTCATTAATTAAAGGAAATGCAAAAGTCATGTTTATTAGTAACCAAGCAAGAAATATAAAAACACAGTTCTGTGAATGTAAGAATATGGCATTGAGCTAAGGCCAGGGCTCAGAGGTAAAACTTCTTTACATGCACAAAGGTCTCTAGCCTTGACCAAAGAAACTGCAAAAGAAAAGGAAGTATTATGATAGTCCCGCAGAGAGCAGACCAGGCCTTTGTTCCCTCTCTATCTGGGTGCTCCATCCAGTTCTAATTGTAGCACCTCTGCAAAAGCGGGGGCCTTGACAGTTGGCTCGGGTTAACAGTATTTGCTTCTCTTGTAGTTGGCCTGTAACTCCAGTTCCAGGGGATCCACACACACCCTATGCTATCTGGCTTCCATGGGCATTGCATTCACACAGACAGACACACAAAAGAGGCAGAATGGCTTGGTGGGTAACAGCTCTTGTGGCCGAAGTTTGATCCCCAGAATGCACATAATGATTAAAGGAGACAACCAGTTCAACAGAGATGTCTTCTGCACATGCCCCATATATTAGTAATAACTGAAAAATAAAAGAAGAAAAGATAATCAGGAACATACAGATGTAAGCATACAGTGGCTATTAGGACTTGTCATGTGTGCCTAGAAAGCTAGGCCCAGGAAGAAGTTGTATGAGATGTTTAGAGAAAGATGAGTAGGCCCATGTGTTGTGAAGAACCAGGGCCTGGGAGAAGCAGGAAGCTTGGTATGTGTGTGCAATTTGGTATTTTTGTTTTATTGGGTTTTTAATTATGTGTGAGTCTGTACACTTGACTGTGGGGGCCCTCAGAGGCTAGAAGAAAGTGTTGGATCCCTAGGAGCTGTAGCGAACAGGTGGATTTTGAGGCCTCCCAGTGTGAGTGCTGGAATTATCCCTCTGGAAGAGCTGTACTTGTAGTTTGGTCTAGCCTCAAACGCCCATGTAACAAACTTGGATTTGAACTCCTGGTTGCCTGCTTCCAGCACACTCAGCTAATTTGCTATTTTATGTGATAGTTTAATGATACCAAAGGGCCTTTGAACCAGTGAGTACCTTGTTCCCATCCTGCTGACGGGATGGATGACAACCGTCATCTGTGCCCAGCTGACCTAGAAGGACAGGTAAGTAGTTTTCGGTTTTTCTAGACCAGAGACTGACCTGGTAATGATGTCTGTCTCACCTGATAGTGCCCAATGAGAACAGACAAGGTGCTTGGTGATGCAAGGTGATGCTCTCCTAAGGGTTTTCCCTATTTCCCCGTGCCTAGTGTGAGATGCTGGGTGCGAGATAGATGGCTGTTTCCGTGGGAGTGACTGGTT